AAACTAAAAAAATTCTAATCCTGAAGAATAAATGGGTCAAAAAACAAATCACAGAAACAATTAATTTCATTAAAGAACATGACAATAATGAGACAACATGCCAAAATTTATGGGATGTAATGAAAGTGGTACTTAGGGGAAATTTTTTTTTATCTCTGAATGCTCATATCAATAAAATAGAGAAAGAACATACCAATAAATTGAGCATGCAACTTAAAAATGAGAAAAAGAACAAAGTAGGAACTACCAATTAGACACCATAGTGGAAATCCTGAAAATCAAAAGAGAGAAAATAAAATTGAAAGAAAATCATTGAACTAATAAATAAAACTACAAGTTGGTTTTATGAAAAAAATAGATAAACCATTGGTTAATTTCATTTTAGAAAAAGGAAAGAAGAAAACCAAATTACCAGTATCAAAAATAAAAGAAGTCAGTTCACTACAAATGAGGAGGAAATTAAAAGAATTATTAGAAGCTATCCTGCCCAATTATATGCCAATAAATCTAACAATCTAAATGAAATGAATGAATATTTACAAAAAATATAAATTGCCCAGATTAACAGAAGAGGAAATGGAATACTTAACCCAATCTTAGAAAAAGAAATTAAACAAACCATCAATGAACTTCCTAAGAAAAATTCCCTAGGGCTAGATGGATTCACAAGCAAATTCTACCGAACATTTAAAGAATAATCAATTCCAATACTACATAATCTGTTTGGAAAAACAGGCAAAGTAGGAGTCCTACCAAATTACTTTTACAACATAAATATGGAGCTGATACCTAAATCAGAAAGAGCAAAAATACAAAAAGGCAACTGTAAACTAATTTTCCTAATGAATACTGACACAAAAATTTTAAATAAAATGCTATCAAGGAGATTATGGCAATATATCACAAAGATCATATACTATGACCAGGTGGGATTTATACTAGGAATTCAGGACTGGTTCAAAATTAGGAAAACTATGAGCATAATTGACCATATCAATAACAAAACCAACAGAAATCATATGATTATCTCAATAGATGCAGGAAAAAAACTTTGACAGAATACAACACCAATTCCTATTAAAAACATTAGTGAGCATAGGATAAATGGGACTTTCTTTTTAAAATAAGTAATATTTGTCTAAAACCATTAACAAGCATTATCTGTAATTGGGATAAGCCAGAAGCCTTCTCAATATAATGAGGGGTGAGGTGAAGCAAGCATGCCCATTATCACCTCTATTATTCAATATTGTACTAGAAATTCTAGCTATAGAAATATGAGAAGAAAAAGAAATTGAAGGAATTCAAATAGGTAATGAGGAAACAAAACTATCACTCTTTGTAGACAAGATGGCATACTTAGAGAATCCTAGAGAATCAACTAAAAAACTACTTGAAATGATTAACAACTTTAGTAAAGTTGCAAAATATATAATAAACCCACATATATCATCAGCATTTCTATATATTACCAACAAAGCCCAGCAGCAAGAAATAGAAAAAGAAATTCCATTTAAAATAACTGTAGACAATATAAAATACTTGGGAGTCTACCTGCCAAGACAAACCCAGAAACTTTACGAACACAATTTCAAAACATCTTTCACACAAATAAAGTCAGATCTAAACAACTGGAAGAATATCAAGCGCTCATGGGTAGGTTGAGCCAACATAACAAAAACGACAACTCTACCTAAATTAATCTACTTATTCAGTGCCTTAGCCAATCAAACTACCAAAACGTTACTTTACAGAGCTAAAAGAAATAACAAAATTTATCTGGAAGAACAAAAGGCCAAGAAAATCAAGGGAATAAATGGAAAAAAAAAGTGAAGGAAGGTGGTCTAGCTATACTAGATCTCAAATTCTATTGTAAAGCAGTAATTATCAAAACAATCTGGTACTAAGAAACAGAGTGATGGATCAGTGGAACAGATTGGATACACAATACTTTGTAGTAAACGACCATAGTAATCTAGTATTTGATAGTGATTTGGATTCAAAACTGTTGGGACAAAAACTAATTATTTGACAAAAATTGCTAGGAAAACCTGAAAACAGTATTGCAGAAACTTGGTATAGACCAACATTTCATACCATATGCTAAGATAAGGTCAACATGGGTACATGATTTACATGTAAAGGGTGACAGCATAAGCGAATTAGGAGAGCATGAAATAGTTTATCTGTCAAATCCATGGATAAGGGAAGAATATAGGACCAAAAAAGACATAATGAGAATCATGAAATGTAAAATGCATAATTTTGATTATATAAAATTTAAAAAGTTTTTGCACAAACAAAACCAACACAACCAAAAGTAGAAGGAAAGCAGGAAATTAGGGGGAAAATTACACTAAGTATCTCTGATAAAGGCCTCATTTCTAAAAAATGTGGAGAATTGAGTCAAATTTATAAGAATACAAGTCATTTCTCAACTAATAAATGGTCAAAGGATATGAACAGTCAGTTTTCAGACAAAAAAATCAAAACTAGTCATAGTCATATAAAAAAATCACTATTGATTAGAGAAATGCATGTCATATTAAAAATAACTCTGAGGTACCACCTCACACCTATCAGATTGGCTAATATGAAAAAAAGGAAAATAATAAACATTGGAGGGGATGTGGGAAAACTAGGACACTATTGTACTGTTGGTGGAATTGTGAACTGATCCAACTATTCTGGAGAGCAATTTGGAACTATGCCCAAAGGGCTATAAATTGTGCATGATCTTTGATCCAGCAACACCATTGCTAGGTCTGTATCCCGAAGAAAGAGGGAAAAAAGGAAAAGATCCTATTTGTTCAAAAATATTCATAGCAGCTTTTTCTGTATTGGCTAAGAATTGGAAATTGATGGGATGCCTATCAGTTGGGGAATGAGTGAACAAATTGTGGTATATGATTGTGATGGAATATTATTGTGCTATCAGAAATAACAGACAGGATGATTTCAGAAAAACCTGGAAAGACTTACATGAACTGATACGAAATGAAGAGAGCATAACCAGGAGACTAATGTACACAGTAACAGCAATATCGTATGATGAAGTGTGAATAATTTAACTATTCTCACCAATACAATGATCCCAAAGGATTCATGAGGAAAATTGCTATTGGCCTCTAGAGAAAGAACTAATGCTGTCCAAGTACAGACTGAAGCACGCTATTTTCTTTCTCTCTCTTTCCTTCCTTCTTTCTTTCTCTCTTTCTTTACTTTTTCTTGCACAAAGTGACCAATATAGAAATGTTTTACATGATTACACATATATAATCTACATCAGATTACTAACCATCTCAAGGAAGGGAAAGGGGAGGGAGAATGGGATAGGATACGGAACTTAACCCCAAATGTTAAAAAATTGTTTTTACATGTAATTGGGGAAATAAAATATTATTAAAAAAATAAACTTCTATCATACTGGGGAAACAACATGTATACATATAAGTAAATACAACTTATTGTTTTAGTTTTATTTGTTTAGTTTCTGGTCCAGGGAGCCAGGGAGTTCAGACATGAGATTAGTTGGTTTAAGAAACTTCCCATAAGAAAACTCTCTCTACCTATACAGATTAAGACTGTATTGCAACTTGCCAGAGTCATACAGCCCAGTTTGTAGGAGAGACAGGGCATGAATCCATGTCTTCTTCACTTTGAGGTGTGTTCCCTAGCTACTATGCCATGCTGCTTTACCATAAATTCAAAACATATGCAAAATATATACAAGGCAATTCTGGGACAAGGGGGAAAATCAGGAAAAGTCTCTTACAGGAAGTGGCATGAGTTGAGACTTGATGACAGCAAGAGTTTCCAAAGGGCACAGATGAAGAGAGATCATTCTAGGCATTTGGGGGTAGCATGTGCAAAGGCAGAGGGGTGTAATACAGAAAGTCATATACAGATATAAGTCAGTTTGGCTTAATCACAAGGAACAGGATATGAAGTAATGGGAAATCAGTCTAGAAAGGTAGCTTGAGCCAGACTGGGCAAGTCTTTAAATCTCAAACAGGAATTTGCATTTTATTCTAGAAACAAATACCATTTTAGACACCAAAGTTCTTGAGCAAGGAAATGAGATGGTCAGGCTTGTACTTTAGGGGAAAAGTTTGGTAGCTGTGTGTTAAGCATTGACTAAAGTGAAAAAGATACTTGTCGTATGGAGACAAATCATGAGGCTATTGAAACATTGCACACCATTGGTGATAACGGTCTGAACAAGGTTGGTGGGCCATGTGAGTGAAGAAAGGAGGCCTAATGCAAAAGCTGCTTTGAAGGTATCAACAAGCTGATTGGATATGGAGGGTGACTAAGGATGACTCTGGTTGTGAACCTGAATAATAGGGAAAATGACAATTCCCCCAAGAAAAATGGGTGAAGTTAAAGGAGAGATGGATAAGTTTTGGGGGAATGACATAGAGCTCTGTTTTTGAGATAGTGAATCTGATGTTTTATGAAATAACCAGATGGATGTCATCTTGGCTTTTAGAAGCCATCTTGAAGCCCAGAAAGCCTAGAACTAAAGACCTACTGACATTTTACTCCTCTGGCTTTAAGCAAGTGTGTAAACAGCTTCTCATTTGGGTGACCATGAAGAATTTGATCTTTGAGTTCCCAATAGAGAGACAAAGGAAAGGAGGGAAGAAGGAAGGAAGGGGTGCCCTCATCAAAGGCCTCCCTCCTTATCATGATAAAGTGTGTATCAGCAAACCCACATCGGATTGGATATGTTTCCAATTGTGAAGTGAATATTCAAACCTGGGATGGGAAGTAGTAGTAGTAGTAGTAGTAGTAGTAGTAGTAGTAGTAGTAGTAGTAGTAGTAGTAGTAGTAGTAGCAGCAGTAATAGTAGTTGTTGTTAGCAAGAGGACCTCTCTCTGTCCTCATGTTCCTCCTCTCCGCCTATTTTCCTTCAGTTCTGTCCATGGAGCATCCTCCTCTACCCACAGCAATTCAGAACAAAAACTTGAAAAAGTAAAGACCAAGAAACAACCTACCTTCTGGCTCCTCTATGCTGCTGGCTGCAGTGGTGGGTGGAGCCACGGGAATCTCTTTCAGAGGTTCAGGTCCAGGTAAGAAAAGCAAAAGGAATGAAAATAGAGAAAAACAGCATTAATTTTATTTTTACCTTGGGGAAAAAAAGATAGTAAACACAACAGTTATTTTCACTTAGTCTGTTTGTAGGGAACCTCTTAAATGTTTTGAATCATAAAAGGAGGACAACCTTCCCTTAAGAAAAGAGTTGAACCAGACCAGGGGGTAGGGGAAATAGGCCACTTTGATTTATTATGGTGTGGTAGGGTCTTGTCAGAGATGTTAATAATCTGTGATCACTATCAAGGGACCCTGAACAGTTTGAATGAATGGATGGATAAGGGTGAAGTTCAGGACAACCATATTCCTACTTGTCCAGGGTTAGAGAGAGAAAACTGAATATGGTGCTTTTGTGCCAACTGTGTACTTTGGTCAGCCCCCAGCCCCTCAGCTTCATTAGGAAGACCCCCTCCTCTTGATAGTTACACTTCTTTAACAAACTCGTCTTAATTGTGCTGTGATCATTGACCCATGTACACAATAGAAAACATTGGGTGCTCTCTGGAGGCAAAAAGTCAGGATCAGGTTCTGTACATCCATGGAAACATCTCTGGGCCAAAACTTGTTGGGCTGGAGGTTTTTGCTGAAGAGCATGCCAAAAAGCTAAGAAAATGAGGGATTTAGGAAATGAAATCTGTATTATTCACGTTTCCTTTAAAATATATTTTAACTTGTACTGACTAGGACCAAGGCACTGTTGAAGGCAGAGGTGCCCTGGCAGAGGGGAGGCTCAGTTACCCTCCAGGAATCTGTGATTAGAGATGTTAGAGCATTAGGTGAGCAGAGAGAGATTTTATATTTTCCAGGATTTATATCTCTGCTTCTAAAAATTCACTTTTTAAAATTATTGTGATTTCTTTTTTCTCATTCAAGATGAACATCAATTCATAAAGGAAATGGAGATTATTCACCATCAAATGAAACCAAAGGCCCAGAGTTTGTTTTCCATGAACGGGGGCAGACAAGATGCTCTCAGCTCAGAGTCTGGCTCAGTCTTACTCATCAAGATAAATCCATCTTCTCCATGGATTCTGAATCAGACAAAACAATGAGCCTGGATCTTGTACGGACCTGAGTATAAACCAGTCATCCTGGAGCCAGACAGACTGTGACATCAACAGTGATCCTGGCAGAAAAAACTATCCTCATTTTGTAGATAAATCATGGTCTTCCATAATGACATTCATTGTAATGAGATGCTGGATCTTAACTATAAGACAATGTTTGCTAAGGGTTTGGTAAAATAAACACATATTTCACACCTCATTTGTCCAAGTGGGACTGAAGAACCAAAGCAATGGCATAAAACAATGCCCACAGCACAGACATCTGGGAAAATAGTATAGTGAGGCAATGATTTTGCTCTTGATTTTAATACCATCACCACTAGTAGTCTAATAATAATAAAATAACAACAATGAACTTCCCATTTGTTTCATGAGGGCTCAGAAAGGAAGGTCCTCAAGGCTGTCCCTGTATCTCAGAGTATGGCACAAAACCAAGATGGTATACCTGAGGATTATGCTCTATTCCCAGGTTCACTCACCACTGAAAGGTGGTTAGCAATGATGCATACATCACAATCATGTCTATTTTATAAAGGCACACTGGTGCCTGGTGGTTGTGGGATACAGCCCATGTAAAGAAGAGTCCTCAAAAAGTAACATGGCCTCATTCTTATCTCCCTCATAAGCTACCTGTGGCCAAGAAAATATTCATAGGGAAATACGGAACCACACAGCCCCGCTTATGAAACTCTTCAAAGAAATAACAAATACAAGCTCAACAATATGGTTTCTCAATGGGGCTTTGGGGGGAAAAATTGTCCATACTATTCATATTGGTTTCTCCCTTCTTCATCCTATAGTTCTTATACACAGAGCCCATACTACTTTTTTTCCAGTTACTTAGGCATGTAAGTAATATTGTGGTTTTTGCAAGAAAAAGGCTAAGTCTTTTCCTCCTTGCATCATATAAAGGAAGGAGGCTATTCTGCACAATTGTTCCTGAGTTTCTCTTTGCTGCTTTTCAGTGGAATCTCACTGTGCTTGGCAATTCAAATCTTTCAACAAGAAGGTTTCCACCAGTCATACATCTGCCCCTTGTAAGAAGGAGAAGTAAGGGAGTGGGATGAGTAGAGAGAGATTTCATATTTTCCAGTGATTATATCTCTGCTTCTAAAAGTTCAGCTGTTTTTCAAGCTTGGAATTTCCACAGAGGATTTAAAAGACAGGGGATAAGTTTAAAATGTTACGTTTCAGACATTTCTGAGCAATTTGAGAGCTGCTGGTCCCTTTTAAAAATGAAACCATTAAAAAATGTTTTCATAACCCAAGATGGCTACATGAATTTTCTTCCAACTTTACAAAAATGTTCCCTTTAGGGTTTTTTAGACTTAGATTGAAAAGAAGAATTTTTGTGTGTTATAAGCCTCTGACAATTGGTGAAAAAAAAAAAAAGAAACCATTTAACAAGCTTAAACATACACGAACATATAGTGAGCTGAATAAACTTTCTTGGGCTATTATTTATTATTATTCTATTTCTGAAAATACTCTTATTGAAATGCATCATAATTTAGAAACAAATGTTGTTAGAATAACAACAACAACTCAAATAAACAGAGCCAGATATCTAGGCAGTGGGGGGGGAATCTAATTTAGATACCCCTTCCTTTCACTCTCAAGACTTCTTTTACTTGGTGTGGTCCACTGTAATGTGTTTGAGAATCTCTCCATGACTAAATGAAAACCTGTGCCCAGGCTGTGGGCTTGTGTGACAGTAGAAAGCAATTTCTCTCCACTATGAGATGGGAACCATAAAGATGGACTGCCATGGTGCAGCTCTGGTAAGAGACCAGAATAGGCAGAATGGATTTGGTTTCTAATTCCTACAAAGGATAAAGAAGGACTCTAGACATCTAGATCATGACACCTGGATTCTATTTTTTTTGGCTAGAATTAGTTGACTGCTGTTCTTCACTCAGCCTATTTAAGGTCACTGCAGAGGGCCATGAAAAGAATCAAGTTGAGGGGCAGATAGATGGCGTAGTGGATAGAGTGCCGGCCCTGGAGTCAGGAGGACCCGAGTTCAAATCTGGCCTCAGACACATAACATTCACTAGCTGCGTGACTCTGGGCAAGTCACTTAACCTCAATTGCCTCATATTAAAAAAAAAAAAAGAATCAAGTTGAGTCTTCCAACTTTTAACTTCCTATTTGCCTTAACATATTTCTTTACATCTGAGTATGTACTGCCATTTGCTTAAAATCACATAGGCTGGGGAAGAAATGTGTGTCACATGGCAGAACTTTATACAAAGATAGGAAAGTAAAGTAAGTATTTAGGAGGCAGTGAGGTGTAGTAGAAAGAACACTGGATCTCAAATTGAAGACTTGGTTTTCAGCCCTGGCTCTAACACTTAATAACCTCATAACCATGGGTAAATGGATCAGCCTCTCTAAGCTTCAATTTCCTCACCTGCAAAATGAAGCCAGAAACATGTGCACTACATTCATCACAGGGATCTTGTGAGGCAAACGATCTGCAGACTTTAAAGTGCTACAGAAATGAGAATTACCATTAGCCCAAAGGACATGGAGGTGGTGTGGGACAGGAACTTTGCTACTTCTCTTATTTTCTAGAAGAGAATATAAAATTCAAAATCTAACACAGCATAATACATCTATATAAAGATAGAAACACCATCACCCACCCCACTATAGTAATGGATAGTGTTAGTTTAAGTCCCATACTTGCGAAGGCTCAAATGCTGCTGGTCTCCTCACAGCTAGAGGTACGTACAAGATTCAAGAGTCACCAGGCTACTTGTCCATCCACTACAAAGCCTGGGCTGCTTGGGAAGGAAAGAAAATCTGGTTTGGGGTAGGGGGTTGGTAGGAAACAACAATCATTTGTCATACATCTGTTCTGTGTGTTCAGAACAAATAAATATAGGCCATGCCAATGTCTGCTAAAGAGGTCTGCTCAGGGATAATTGAACAAATTATAGTTATTTCATCATTTGATTCATTGGGTCTTAGGTTGCACTCACATAACCTAACCCCTGTGGCAAATAAATATGTCCAATATGCTGGTTCCTACTGAATTACACATGTTCTAGTCTAATTAGACACAAAGCAATATAACTGAGGTTAAAAAAAAAACAAACCTTTTGATTGAGCATGCACACATCAGTGTTAATAGCTGCTAAATCTATTAGGAAGTCAGATAAGTCTTACAAGGATATTTACAAATAAAATCTACTATTGTTACAGACTTCAAAAAAGATGATTCCACTTACTTATGCAGGGGGCAATGGGAGATCGGCTTTGCTGGTAACCTTTGGCACATCTATTGCACGTGATGCCAGTCACGCCATCTTTGCAAGGACATTGACCTGTGGTTTGATTACAGGTCTTGCCAGCTGCACCCACAGGGTGGCAATCGCATGCTGTGGGGGGAAAACACATGACAGTGTCAGAGAAAAAGGAAAAGTGAAGAGTCAACATCAATAGGGACAATCCCAATAAATATCTCTTTCCCATAGAAAAGAACCAAGCAACCCCTCTTCCCACCCATCTTAGGGGCAAGTAGGAAGGGCCATGCTTATTATCCTGTAAGGATCTTGGTGTGTTATGCAGCAAAACTCCTAGATCTGGGAAATTAAAACCAAAGTACAAAAATGTGATGACATTTCCACATACGTTGGGGGATCTTCCTGTAATCTGTAAGGGAAATCCCATAATTCAAATACATTTTCATGAATAGAACCAAAATTTCCTAATTAAGTGGAGAAGAAAATTTTGGGGGAAAAACATTTTCTGTTACATATGAATTCCTATCAAGTAACTCTGGGATTTTTATATTCTCTGCATATTTCTTACCCTTTAGTCCATCCTTAATTCCCTAGATGGTTGACACGAGTTTAACAGACACAAAGTGACTTTGGGGAGGAAGATAACTGGGCAGGAGATAGGGTATCAGTTATCCATATGATCTGAGGGTGCTGGTAAGGGGAAAGGCTGTGTGGGTTCCACCTAACTCTCTGACCAATCTGTCTGAGGTGCAGTCATAGGAACAAATCATCACATCATAGGATCATAAATTTAAAGTGGGAAGAAACCTTAGAGGTCATTGAGCCCACTACCCTCATTTTATATACAGATGAGGAAACCAAGGCCCAGAGAGGCTGAGTGACTCACCCAGAAACACACAACTAGTAAGTATCTCAGGCAAGATCAAAACCCGAGTCTTCCTTACTCCAAGTCCAAAGTTCTATCCAGGTCTGCTCACTAACCAGAGGAATATCCTCCAAGATTCTGTCACGAGCCCTCTTCTCTACTCCCTCCAAACTCTCTTGCTTGTTGATCTCATCAGCTTTCATAGGTTCAATTATCATTTCTAAGCAGATGATTGCCAAATTTATATGTCCAACCCGAATATCTCTCCTGAGTTTTAGTCTCATATCTGTCATGTGGACCTCTCACACTGGATGTCCTGCAGGCATCTGAAACTCAACACTTCCAAAACTAAACTTACAATATTCCTTCTCAAATCCTCTTTTCTTCCCAATTTTCCCATAACTACCAAGGAGACCATCATCTTTCTAGTCACCCAGGCTCAAAACCTCAGTGTCATTCCTGAACTCCTCACTCAAATTCACCACATATATCTAATCTTCTGTCAACTCATGTTGATTTTTACCTTAACAACATCCCCTTCTTTCCACTCACTCTGCTACCACTCTGGTGCAGGGCCTTTATTACCTCATTCCTGAACTATCATAATAGCCTTTTGGTGGTTCTCCTTGCCTCAAGCCTCTCCCCACTCCAATATATCCCTCCAATCAGCCGCCAAATTGATTTTTCCTAAAGTGCAGGTCTGATTATTTCACAAACTCCATCCCCATCCCCCCAAATAAATTCTAGGGGCTCCCAATTACCTCTAGTCTCAGATATAAAATTTTTTGTTTGACATTTAAAGCCTTTCATAATATCCCTGGCACCTTTCAACTTCTAGACTTCTTATGCTTTACTCTCTTCCATTTACTCTGTATCTGACATAGAGTCTATCATCTAGGTACATTGGCTTATTTACCGTTCCTCAAATACGACGCTTCTCCAGACTACCACTTTTCACTTAATGTCTTCCCATACCTGGAATACTCTCCTTCCTCATTTCTTTGCTTCTCTGGCTTCAAGACTCAACTTGAATCCCATCTTCTACAACAGGTCTTTCCCAGTCTTCCCAGTTCTAGGGTCTTCCCTCTGGGATTACTTTCTATTTATATTGTTTATATTTTGTATGTATATAGTTAAATGCATGTTGTCTCCCCCATTAGAACGGGATCTCCTTGTTGGTAGTAACCAAGTTTTTGCCTTTCTTTATATCTCCAGTGTTTAGCATAGTGCCTAGCACATATTAAGTGCTTAATTTGTTGACTGACTATCCACTATACCCTACTGTTTCTCAGGGATAGTGTAAGAGCCATAATTAAAGTAGGAATTGGGAATCATAGGATTTAGAGTTGAAAGGGACCTTATTATCTAGTTCAACCATGTCATATTATACAGAAGGAAACTGAGACCCACAGAGCCTATGTGATTTGCTCAAGGTGACAAAGGTACTAAGTATCAGAGTTGGAATTCAAACCCAGATCCTGTGTCTCCAAATACAATACTCTTATTCAGGAAGACTGGGGTTCTACTCATAATACTTGTTGAGTATCTAGTCAGATACTTACTAGCTGTGTGACCCTAGGAGAGTCATTTAACCTTTCTCTGCCTCACCTACCTTCTCTGTAAAATTGTGAAATAGAGACGATCTAAGAAAATGGCACATGTAAAGCATTTTGCAAACCTTAATGAATTTAAGTACTAGTTATCATTATTACACCACTTTCTCTTTCTGAAGGAACAATGGCTTTCAGGGTAGCAGTCATAAAAATTAGAAAATTATAATGTCAAAGCTGTTAGAAACCTTAGAGATCACCTAGCCCAACTCTTTCATTTTAAAGGGGAAGGAAACTGATGCACAAAGAAGAGACACAACCTGCTGAAGGTAACCTGGTGAATTAGTAGCAGAGCTAATTTGACATCACCCAGTTTTGTTTATTACATAATTTGGTAAATGGGATGGAGACGAGGGACTATGATATATTAAAATGGGTGCTATCCCTGAAGTTGGGAGACTTGGGTTTAAATGCCATCTATGTCACTCCATGTGTTACCTTGCATGAGTCACTTAATCTCTTCAGACCTCAGTTTCCCCAATGACAAAATGAGAGGATTGGACTACATGACCTTTGAAGTCTATTCCAGCTTTAAAGTTTGCTTCTATACTTCTTCTTTTACCAGGATAAATCCAATCATTTACGGCTTCAACACTTAGCTTCCTGAAAGCCTTAACCACAAAAGCAGAAATCACAAGTAGATCCTGGAGACGGCAATTTCTTCCAGAAATATCACTGCATGATGCTTGCCAACTTCCAGATGGATGTTTACAAAAATCCTAGAACCTTGGACAAAGACATGCCTACTTGAAGGTACCGGCCTTTAAAATTTCTGACTGGTTTCACCTCCTTAACGCCAGATTAAAAGTAAGGAAATGCTTTCCCCAGCAACACTGGGAGTTCTTAAGGCTGGCTAATTTTCTGGAGGAATGATATTGTAACAACACATGGTATTCTACCAGTCCTGATAATTTCTGAGCCTTCCTGGGCATGTGCTGTATCTAGAATGAATGGAAACAGAAAAATTAAGATGGTGGGGACAGACTGGGATAAGAATCTGACCTGAATCCAGTTATATCAGGAAATGGCTAAAATACCACCTACAACCCTATAACATGGTGAGGAGTAGAGTGGTGTAGGTACCAAAAGATAAGGGGCTATCTCAATGTCTATCTCAATGTATTCCTTAAAATTATGTTCTATTAAGGGTTTTGATTTTAATAAGTAAATGTTTAGAAGAACCTATGTCAGATAACAGGCTATAAAAACTGTAGGTCTTAATAAAGAACCAACTCTGAAGATAAATCAATCATCAACCAAATGATGATTGACCAATCAATAATCAACCAATTCACATATATTAAGCTCCAATTATGTGCTAAGTGCTAAGCAAGTTACTGTTCACATGGGAGGAAAGGATGCTCAGTGATAGCAAGGAAGCTCTGGACCTTCTTTCTCACTGGAAAAGGGCCATCATAAGGTTTTCATGCAAACCATATTTGACTGCTGTGACTTTCTTTCTCTTCTTTGCTTTGCTGTAAGAGATAGGAAGCAGGGCAATTGGCAGGAACTATGAAAGGTCTTGATAAGTAATATCCAAACAGTTAAAACTCCCTTCCCCCAGATCCCCCACCCCCATGCCCTGGCTTTACATAAATCAGAAGCAGAAGAAAAGTCACCATCTAGGGCTTTGGAGATCAAGTTGCCTTGAAGCTCCAAAGCCAGAGGGCTTCTGACTTCAAAAAAGGATTTTGGGTGAATTAGAAATGTGTTTTCTATTCAAGCCTTAGACCTAAAGCAGATTAGATTTAATTGTGTTTGAGAATAATTATGGGTTAGTTAGCAAACCACCGAGGTGCTTATATTTCCTTAAATCTTATTCTTATGGTATTAATGTTTTCAAATGTGATTAGCTATTGATTTTCATGTGTAACTATTAATAAGGAGCTCCATTTTTGAAAAAGGCTTAACTGAACTAAAAAGTCAAGTTATCAACTTTTACTAGTTACACATTTATGGAAAGCCTAACAATACAATTCATAAAGCACCCAGGCATCTCCATATACCTGGTGGCAGCAACTTGCATTTAAGGAATGAAGCTTAAGAAGCTTCCTGACTTGAGGACCAGTCTTTGAAATTCAGACCTATGAAATATTAGCAAATATCATTTTTTAAAATTTCCAATTAATAAGGTAAATGTGGAAGGCAATCTTTCTGAATTTTTTGTTTGACAGATAAGAAATTACCCTTGGCCTTTGTCAGGTAATTCTTATAAACTGTCATTTATTTCTATTCCAAATTGAAGGGGAGCAAGCAGGAATATTAAAAATATGACTACGGGCTGAGAGACTAACCAGATCAACACTTTCCTTCCAAACTCGGTGGAAGGCAGGTGGTAGGGAAGATTGAAAGACAAGAAAAGGAGTGGGAAATGATGGGAAAGAAAATAGAAATGGGGAGAAAGAAGGGCTCAAGCAAAACTGAACCCCAAATAGTAAGGACATTTCCAACAATGATAGGGCTTTTTCACTTTTTTTCTAAATAAGGGGATCTCAACATGGGATACATGTATTTGCTTTTTAAAAATATTTTTATCATTTTATTTAAAAATAAATCATTCCCTTTATAATCCTATTTGTGTTATTTTAGGCATTTAAAAACTCTATCATGAAATAGGGTTTCAACAGACTGCCAAAAGGGGCCCATGACACAAAAAAAGT